ATTATCCGATGAGAATTGCTGATAGTAGACATCGCCAAGTTGATGATGGATTTCAAGCTAAAGAAGCAGACTCTGAGAGTTAAATTAAATCTGCTGGTTTTACTTGTATGGAGAATCGAATCGAAAATGATGGAATCGAGGGTCCAATATCGAAGATGGAATCGAATCGAGGTCTGGATGAATCGTTGCAGCCCTAGTGTTCATGGGTTTCACCAATGGTGGTAAATGTCTGCGACCAGGGCCCCGTTCCTCAAAGCGATCGTAGCGCTACGACAGTCGTAAGTCTATGTTAAAGTATGGGAGTTACGACTGTCGTAGCGCTACGATCGCTTTGAAGAACAGGGCCCTGCACAACTTCATGTTTTGTTACTAGATCAGTTTCACGTGCTGTGATAAAACAGGTACAAAAACAAAGTGATAGTAATATAACCTCACTCATTCACGCTCTTGACGTTATGGATTAAAGATTTGGAAATATACAAGAATCTGATAAGTTTGAAAGATTTCATTAAATATAAAGGGATGCATTTAGCATCCCCCTGTGTGGTTTTATTTTGATACAAACAACTTAGATTAGTTAGAATTACTGATTTAAAGAATGCTGAAATTCAATGTTAGGAAATAGAAAATCTGATTTGTAAGTAAATTAAGATTTTTCCAAAATTGCCTTTCAAATTGACTAATTTTGGAATCTTAAATGATTCCCTGGATGAGGCTTAAATAAACCCCATATTTCTAGGGGTCTTACATTGAAACAAAATAACACCATGACATTTTAACATCAATTTGAAAAACAGGAAACATTGTTCTTGCCATACAAGCAAGATACCGTATTTACTGATTCTGGAACGGACCTCTTGCTCACAGGAGTGAGTGAGTGAGTGAGTATGGTTTTACGCCGCTTTTTAGCAATATTCCAGCAATATCACGGTGGGGGACACCAGAAATGGGCTTCACACATTGTACCCATGTGGGGAATCGAACCCGGGTCTTCGGCATGACGAGCGAACGCTTTAACCACTAGGCTATCCCACCGCCCCTGCTCACAGGAAGATATGGACCATCTGATCATAGACACATTAATATTGCAAGAAAAATATGAAAGTTGTATCAAGACCATGACCTACAGTGACAAAACATATCTTGAAGATTGATTTATGGATTTGCTGTTTCTTGAAACAGTGAAAAGGTAAAAGTACAATTTAAAAAAAATATGGTATATTTTAAAGAGTAGTAGATGTTCACAAAACTTATTTGAAAAATATTATTAATGTACAAATAAAATTTTGTTTTATTTTTCAATTTGTATTTGCATTATTCAAAAAGAATAATCAGTAAAAAACTAGAAAACGTGTCCTTTGTTTTGTATGTAAAGTGTTACCCAGACAGTATGACTGTGGAGCGGAATGACCGATTGTTTCGTCCTGTTTGTAAATAATGGACCCTCGAGGATACATTGGTTGCCATGGTTATGCTGAAACAATGATAAAGGAGTGTTTTAACCAGGGGGACAGTCTAGACTCAGGAAGTAGGACTTGATTTGTATGTGAGCTTCCAGAAAACATCATTTTGTTGTTTTCGCTTGAAACCATTTTGAATCATTGTTCCATATTTTTTGACATGCTGTTTGTGGTTTTGTAACTGGATCTTGACACTGCTGAAAATGAATCTGTGGGAAATTTGGTCTTGGTCTTTGAATCTCCAAGGGGGATATTGTATCAGCTGGTTCTTGGAGCCTTCCCAGGGGTTGGGACAGGGGTGGCCATGCCTATTTGGGTTCTACATAATTCTTGGAGCCATTGAATATTTAAGTTATCATTCATATGGGTTATTGTTTGTTTTTTCGTTCAGTATGTTTTTATTTCCTTTGGTGGTCTATTTTGGTATTTTTATGCCAATAAGCAGATATACCTCAGACATAAACTTAGAAAATTTATTACATTTTATTCTTTTCATTTGGAACTATTGTAAAGAGTAGGGGGAAAAAAGGTATGTAAAAGATGTTACATCTTAAGATGTACCGGTAAATATGAAATGCCTGAAAATCTGTCTGATGACAATGTTTAGATCATTTAGATCATGTTATTGATGTTATTGATAAAACAAAAGTGCATTGCAAAATTATTAAAAAAAATATGTTGCTGAGTTAAATCTGATTTTGCTAGGGATTAAATAATGTTTTGTTTGTTTCAGAAATGTCAAACCTGTTTACATGTAACTCACAAATCTGTCATTCATCAAAGGAAAGTTTATTGATTGCATGTCACAAGAAAATCTCATACAGGGCAAGGCTAAATATGCTTAGAAAGACTTGTTCAACACATAAGAAGAAAACAATATCAAGATGACTTCTGAAAACAGAAAACTATTTGCTGTCCTCAATGTGCCATCCTTCACATCCCATCAGAGATAATCTGATGAAGGGTAACTATGGAGATGGCATGTCACAGCTGAATGGAATCAATGGCCGATAGATTTTAAGCTGGTTTGAAAATATTTGATTGTATATAAAAATGTGTATTTCGGGATGGTAAGGATTGTTGATTGTAGGAATATTTAACAAAGTATCATCAAGTGTGTAGTATGAGGTGAAGCAACAGAAATTTAGATTTACTTAGCCAATGGAAGTATCCTTTGAGAATGTGATGGTAATTCATATCATCTGTTAGTGGTGAACTTTAGAAGGGTTGGGTACTTTGTATGTAGTTTTGATGTATGTCTGAAACTTGAGTGTGTTGCAAACAACAAATCATGGATAATTTTCCTCATTACACAAACTACTTTGATTACAGGCCACAGTTTGCTGCTGTAATTTAATCCCATGAAGATCGGGTTAGAATTGATCTTCAGCAACCAATGCTTATCGTAAAAGGTGACTAACAGGATCGAGTGGTCAGGCTTGCTGACTTGGTTGATATCATATCCCAGTTGTGTAGATCGATGCTCATGCTGTTGATCATTGGATTGTCTGGTCCAGACTCGATTATGTACAGAGTGCCGCCATATAGCTGGAATATTGCTGAGTGCGGCGTTAAACAACTATTCAACCAACCACTGTAATGAAAGATAAATATTGTTATAACATTCTATTCCAGTTGGCTCTTCTGTTACTTTCCTTCAGAGGTATTAGCAGTGACTATAGCAGAGACAAGAATCTGTATCAAAATGTCGCACCCATGAAATAAAGAAGTTTAATATTATGCATACAGTTTGTCTACATGTAGCCTGTCTCACAGTCTCTGAACTACATAATATCCCTTCCACCAAGGCCTTTTTGCAATGCCAAAGCCCTAAACGAAGCAAGGCTAGATTTCCTCAGGTTCTGAATGTCCCATCTTATAGGGCTCCTTTTCAATTTAAAAGGAATTATTTATTTCTATCAAAATTATGTATATTCAGAGACTAAGCATTAGTCAATAGTGACTACTAGGGGTGACTATTGAGGGGAGACAACCATTGCGATAGCGATAGTCTGTTGCGACCAACTTTTGTGATAGTTATTTTCTTCTTGAATTGTCTCATTTGAACTTATTTCCCAAATGAATGTATAGTTTATATGAAATAGAAACAAGTTGAAATAGTTTCAGTCTCTTTTAATAACTGACTAAGAACTTGAAACCCAGATGAAGTAAACAGTTAAAACATAAACTCAATGAAGCTGGAAGTCTGCACCCAAACAATAAAAAAATACACAACATATATATTTTATAAAAATTTGGGGCTGCACATTTATCAATGAAAGTCAGTTGCTAAACTATCGATAGTCACACATACTATCGATGCATCGATAGTTTTTCGTTTCTACCATCGATTAATTGCTATCGGAGACTCAACAGTTGTAATCCATCAGTAGTTCCATCGTTACAGCCCTAGTGACTAAGGTGTCAAAGGAAAGAGAGTTGGTAAATACTGTTCACTGTCATTTATAGCTCCTTGCAACAGATGTTTATTGAAATCCCACAGTTGCACATTCACAATCTCAGCACTATTGGTTAAAGTCATATCTGCCTCATTTATTTCCTCAGATCAGGTTTAGGTGATATATGTCCCAATCCAATTTGTATTCATGAGGCAAGCAGTATATTTCTGTAGTCACATTGTCCATGTGACGCTGGGGGCCGCTGCTAGAGGGTAGTGCATATGGAAGTTATATCCTGGTAGATACGTATCAATACATTGTCAGGATGTTCATCAGATGGAATGGAAATAAACGTGCAGTTATTTAGTTTGTCAAACAGGGCATTACTGGTCGATACATGTTACAATACAGTACAGTCAAACTGTTACATCAAACTTTGATGTTTCACACTTAACACTTGTCATGAAGTCAAAGCATGGTCCCTGCATCTTCCCACTTTGATAAATAGTTTGTGGTTGTGTCAAACCTCGGATAGCTTCAAGTATTTATGTAGGTCCCTTCAACTTCCACACAACACTATCTGACTGTATTACACATTTTGCCTGGAGCAGTGTTACCATGGTTACAGTTTGTCAGTTACATTCTTTCAGTTTTTCAAACAGTGTTACTATTTGTCCACAGCAGTGTTGCAGTTTGTGAAGTACAGTATGACAGTGTTCCATGCAGTTTGTGAAATACAGTGTTACATTTTGTTTAATACAGTATTACAGTGTTCCATGCAGTGTTGCAGTTTGTTGTCTTATGCTGTGTATCTGGTTACATTCATTTCATTTTCTTATATGTTATGTCATTTTAGGCAGGTCTCTCTTTGTCAACCTGTTTAGTTTTCACTACTGGGTCATTGGAACAGATCATACTTTAGTGATCTTCAAAGAATAAAAGGTGGTCAAATCTCGGTGGCCACGTGGCTCAGGTGGCTCAGGACACTGACTTGTGATTAGGTGTGTTAGTCTGAGAGTACAGGTTTTGATCCCAGAATGGACTCCACCCAAAAAAAAACATTGGTTTGTAATTTGTAAAGAAAGTGTAATCGCAGCTATGAAATATTGTATGTGTAACATTTGTATGTTTGTTGTTTCAGCGGAAGACAATGAAGAAAGCCAAGGACCGTGCGGACTTCTCCTGACAGCGTTGTCCTATTTTGTTGTCATGATCACGTTGCCTCTTTCACTGTGTGTCTGTATCAAGGTGGGTCCTGACTGTCACACTTGTGAGAGTTCCAAGTTTGAGATTCTTGGATAGAAGTGCGCTCTTATGTTCAATACAGGACAAACTTTATGGATATTTTCTTTAAGTAGCATATAAAAGCTGGTATGATGAAGAGGAACACATTTTTTATGGATAGACAACTTCTTTGTTGTCTCATCTGTTGCAATAAAGAAGTTGTCTATCCATAATAAATAATAATAATAATGGATAGCATTTATATGGCGCAAATCTCCGCAAAGGACTCTTTGCGCTTGCTTTGTTTTTCCCTCGTTCACTGGATGTCAATCTCAATGGCACATCGTATTGTCAATCTCAACTCCCTGGGGAACATACAACTCTTGCAGCAACTAGGCGCACAGAGTTATTGTGGCATTCCCATCCTTACGAGGTACACATTCACAGCTGGGTGGACTGGGACACATAGTCACAGTACTTTGTCCAAGTTCACTGCACGCTGGATCACTAGCCTGGCGCTTTAGCTAGTTCGCCCACCGCGCCCCTCTTGTTCCTCTTTATGGAAATCAACTTCTTTATATCACGAGTGTGGTGTTTCGATACAGATTCTTGTACCGTTATCAAGCAGAGACAAGAATCTGTATCGAAAAGTCGAACCCACGAAAGAAAGAAGTTATCTATAAAGTTTGTACATAATGTATTTTCTAACTTTTAAAATGCTACTCAAAGAAGTCATTCCTATGTACTCTATATTGGTTAAGACTTGGAACAGGTGGTTACAATATGAGACATCACTGATAGATGTCATTGTACACTGTGTGGATGACTGATCACTGAATTACTTACAGTTTAAGTCAGCTTGCAGTTGGGAGTTTATATCCAAAATTTTGTTTGTTTGTCTGTTGTTTAATGTCACACTCAGCAATATTCCAGCAATGTTTGTAAATAACAGAGTCTGGACCAGGCAATCCAGTGACTTACATTATGAACAACTTATAGATGCCACGTCATTTTTCCCATAATTATTATTTCATAAATTATTTGATATGCATGTAGTTAGTAGCAGGGCTCGATTTAAGAGATGTTAACCTACTTGCACCAGGTGCAACCTAAGTTAAAGACCTAGTTGCACCAGCCAAATTCCAGTTGCAACGTATTGTTTTAAAGCGTCAGAGGTTTCGGTGCACATAGACATATTTCGGTGAAGCCATAGCCACACAGAGACACAGCTGATCCCTGTTTACAAGAGCTGTCATAGATGAGATGTGTCTATGAATAGCAATGCTTCAGTGCCATAGCTATTCAAAGTTTAGAAGAATAATGAGCTGACATACTAATGCTTATAATGTTAGATTTATTGTTGATTGATTTCTAAAAAATTGACTTGCACCTTGTGCAAGTTAGACTCATAACTAGGTTGCACTTTGTAATATTGGGTTGCACCAGTGCAAGGAACAAAGCACTAAATTGAGCCCTGGTTAGTAGTGAGTTAGTAGTAAGACTCAACACATGTGTTATGACTTCTTTTTTTATTGTAGTTTGACAATTGAACCTATTCTCTGTATTCTCATAAATTCAGTTTAGGGTCTGAAAACATAATTTTTCCTGGTTTGTTCCCACCAATGATGACATCACTGGTACTCTGTGTTTAACATTAAAATGTCAGTGGTAACAGCACCTTTGTTATGAGGTTGGCTGTTTTGACACTTGACTTTATATATAGGTGAGCTACAGAGCCATAGCATTATCGATGAGAATTTCAACTTGATGCGTTTCCCCAGAAACATGAACATCCACATGTTAAAAGTACATATTTAACCAGCTTTTATTCAAATGGAGACCAGTACAAAAGTATTGATTGCATGAAACAATAATGTTTTTCAGATTTGCATAATTTGTTCTTTGTAAATAAACCATATGTTGTTCATCCACGGGCAGGGACATTTGAATGTCAAGTTATGAACAATTATATCTGTAGGTAGTTAGTATCAATAACAGGAAATCCTGATCATGGGTAATAAGGTTTTCATCCATGGCCAAATTGGTCCCAGCAAACTTTGTAATGCGTTCAGTTTATCCTAGGCAATCTATTCTATAGTTCTATATGTGGCCACAGTGGAGGAAGTGGGAACCCAAATAGATGGCAATCTAGGTTATTGGTCATTCTGAAAGCAAATAGCTGTTAAGATAGTCCTGGGATCCTGATATTAAGGATATTTTGTGGTTTAATGTTTTTGCGTTTGGTGAACTTGTTACCATGACAATGGTCATCTGAGATGGAGGAGTTAAAGATGAGGGGAGATGGGAAGGGGTTGAGAGGAGGTGAAGGAAGGGAGAGGGTGGTGGGTGAAGGTGTGAATGGGAGGGAAATGTTGGAAAGTGGGAGAATGGAAGAAAAGGGAATGGGAATAGAGGAAAGCAGAGGGACAGAGAGTAATGGGACAGGAAGATTGAGGAAAGGGAGGGGAAATCAAGGAAGGGGATGGAAGATGGGTAGGGAGGAAAGATGGGTAGGGAGGAAAGATGGAAAAAGGGTAGGGATGGAAGATGGGTAGGGAGGAAAGATGGAGAAAGGGTAGGGATGGAAGATGGGTAGGGAGGAATGATGGAGAAAGGGTAGGGATGGAAGATGGGTAGGGAGGAAAGATGGAGAAAGGGTAGGGATGGAAGATGGGTAGGGATGAAAGATGGAGAAAGGGTAGGGATGGAAGATGGGTAGGGAGGAAAGATGGAGAAAGGGTAGGGATGGAAGATGGGTAGGGAGGAAAGATGGAGAAAGGGTAGGGATGGAAGATGGGTAGGAGGAAAGATGGAGAAAGGGGTAGGGATGGAAGATGGGTAGGAGGAAAGATGGAGAAAGGGTAGGGATGGAAGATGGGTAGGGAGGAAAGATGGAGAAAGGGTAGGGATGGAAGATGGGTAGGGAGGAAAGATGGAAAAAGGGTAGGGATGGAAGATGGGTAGGGAGGAAAAGATGGAGAAAGGGTAGGGATGGAAGATGGGTAGAGGAATGATGGAGAAAGGGTAGGGATGGAAGATGGGTAGGGAGGAAAGAGATAGAGAAAGGGTAGGGATGGAAGATGGGTAGGGAGGAAAGATGGAGAAAGGGTAGGGATGGAAGATGGGTAGGGAGGAAAGATGGAAAAAGGGTAGGGATGGAAGATGGGTAGGGAGGAAAGATGGAGAAAGGGTAGGGATGGAAGATGGGTAGGTAGGAATGATGGAGAAAGGGTAGGGATGGAAGATGGGAAGGGGGGGTAAATTGAAGAAGGGTAGGGATGGAAGATGGAGGAAGGGTAGGTGTAATCGAGTAATTGAAGAGAGGTGAGAGGAAGATGAAGGAATGGGAAGGTAAAATGGTGGAAAAGGTACATGCAAAGGTGACCCTCAGTTGAAAAGCTTGTGAGTAATATTGACCAATGTATCAAATTTAACACTGGTTGATGGATTAGGCATCGTGCAGCCACACTGTCTGCTGATTCTGAAATATTCAATAAAGTATCAACAGGTGATGTGGAAATGTTTCAGGAGGTCAGACATTGGTGCACATATTTCTTGAAATGTTACGAAAAAATCATAGCATAGATAATGTATAAAATCAGTTTAATGCTTACAGAAGCTAAAAGGGTGCCACAGTGACATAGCTGTAATTCACATCAGAGTTATGTACCTTATCAGTCCCTGGATCTGCTGGTGATTCATCTTGATTATGATACAGATGCCAGCACATCTGGGAGGTTGTGAGATTCACCAAATTGGCACATATCTATGCCCTCCTCTGCTGTCAGCTGTCACACCTCATTTTACAGACCCACCCTGATACAAACTGAGGTGTCCAAAGCAGTGTTAATCTCATCTTGCTAACAACTAGGGCAAAGGTTGTTGATAGCAGCTTTACACAATTCCTGTCAGATATTTAATGGCAGTGTGCCGTGTGTTGTGTCTTCAGACAGTGGCAGGTGGCAGGAATGGCAGTGTATCATACTGGAGTGAACTTTTGGATATTTGTGAAACATTAGATGTGATTATCAATTCAAAGATTCACCTTGGTATTGCGGATGAAGCAGGTTTCAGTGTGAACAAATGGCTCATAACGGTTGACTTTAGCGCCTTTTGGTATGGACGGTGACACTGCATGTGTAGAGTTAGCGATTGAGTTAGATACGGTATTCTGGTATACGTCAGTCACTGACATAGGTCCCTGTGCTTGTGGAATATACTGGGTGGTGAATAGGTCCCTGTGCTTGTGGAATATACTGGGTGGTGAATAGGTCCCTGTGCTTGTGGAATATACTGGGTGGTGAATAGGTCCCTGTGCTTGTGCAATATACTGGGTGGTGAATAGGTCCCTGTGCTTGTGCAATATACTGGGTGGTGAATAGGTCCCTGTGCTTGTGGAATATACTGGATGGTGAATAGGTCCCTGTTAGCATTGTGCAATATACTGGTGGTGAATAGGTCCCTGTGCTTGTGGAATATACTGGGTGGTGAATAGGTCCCTGTGCTTGTGGAATATACTGGATGGTGAATAGGTCCCTGTGCTTGTGCAATATACTGGATGGTGAATAGGTCCCTGTGCTTGTGCAATATACTGGATGGTGAATAGGTCCCTGCTTGTGGAATATACTGGGTGGTGAATAGGTCCCTGTGCTTGTGCAATATACTGGGTGGTGAATAGGTCAGCTGTGTTTGTGCAATATACTGGGTGGATGGTGAATAGGTCCCTGTGCTTGTGCAATATACTGGATGGTGAATAGGTCCCTGTGCTTACATGTGCAATATACTGGATGGTGAATAGGTCCCTGTGCTTGTGGAATATACTGGATGGTGAATAGGTCCCTGTGCTTGTGGAATATACTGGATGGTGAATAGGTCCCTGTGCTTGTGGAATATACTGGGTGGTGAATAGGTCCCTATTAGCTTGTGGAATATACTGGGTGGTGAATAGGTCCCTGTGCTTGTGGAATATACTGGGTGGTGAATAGATTAAGCTGTGCTTGTGCAATATACTGGGTGGTGAATAG